CCTTTCCATGACAGGAATAAAAAATAAAAATGCAAACCCTGTTTTAAGAGGGAAACACTGACTCCTTCTGGGTCTGCTATAAAATTAAATTTTATGAGTCACTCAGCAGCTGGCAAGGCACAGAACTCAGCCAGTGTGAAACCACCTGTCAAAGTAACCTAAGTTGACAACTAAACTTGGTCGATGGTCGGGGGAAGAGTTAATAGACAGAAGTCAGGCCTTTCATCCTTTTCATATGCTAAGTGCAACTCAAGCCAGCTGGGTGAGAAAACTGAGCATTATGTTAAAAAAATATCAAGACCCAGGCTAAGGTGGACATCATGGCCTGAGTCACATGCCACCCAGGGTTACAATGAACAAGGTAATAACAGGAAAACATAGTTTCCTCATGCCAGAGCTGCTATACTGGGCTATAATTACCCCAACAATGAGGATCTACTGAAGACAAGCATTCGTTTCCATCCCCCAAACACACAATGCCCCACAAAAGCAGCCTTGGCATCCTGCACTATAATTGCTAAACTTCCACACTTGGTTTTGCCCCAGGGCTATGGTTCCAGTAGGAAGATAAACATAGTTATTGCTTGGGGTGGGGAGGCGGGCAATTCCATGGTGCCCGATAAAGATCCAGGAAAAGAATGGATGGCTATGCTGTTATCAGGAGAGAGGATCCTAACAGCCAGAAGAAAAATCCAGGACACTCAACCTGGGAGCTTTTAGTTTTCTTCTAAATTTCCAATTTTGAAAAGTTGGTGCCTATAGAAACCAAAACAGCACATCCAATGGTCTGTATTTTCAAAGTCAGATCTTTGCATAGGCCATGTCCCCACTGCAGTATGAAAATGAATTTATGAGTACAAATAAATGGGTTTGAAGATTTTGCCATGTTACGGTTTGTTAAATGCCATGTTGGAAGGTGCTAGGTTTTACAGACTGGAGAGGGCTTTTCAGGTGAGCCCAACTATTCTATTTCCAGAAAATACTGAAGATGAAAACAAAAAAGGTCACCTTAGAGGAGTGTTTCTTAAAGTGTGGTCATTGGACCAACAGCATCCATATCACTAGGAAACTTCTTAGAAAAATAAACAATCAGGGCCGGCCCAGTGGCATGTTGGTTAAGAACTGGCTTGGGACGCCAGCTCTGAGCAGCAGGGCCCCGGTTCGGATCCCACATGGGCCACTGATGCTGCACCCTCTACAGCTAAGATAGTGAACAACAGCTCGACCTGGAGCTGGGCTGCTGTGAGTCGCCGGCAGCCAATGTGAGCGGCCGGCAGCAGGCTGCCAAGAGCCGCCATGAATGGTGGCCCAAAGGCCGGCGACCCATCTGCCTCACCCGGGAAGAGCGCAATGATAATACCAACATGGGCCAGTGAAGCAACGTCCTCCACAACTAGACTAAAGAACAAAAGGACAGCAACTTG